TATTGTGTTGACAAAAAGCATGGAAGAACCCTATTTTCCCCGGGATAAAAACTAAATGAGCCAGCATGCACATGTGTGCACACACATGGCTTAGAACTGGCATGCTTAGAGAGCTGAAGGGCTCATTGTCAGGGCGTGGCACTCTGCCTGGAGATATGAAGGAGTTGTTGCCTCTGACTGCCTGTCTTCCCCACTGTACAAAGACATGGAAAGCTTCTCCCAATGCCTCACTTAAGGTGAGTGTTTACTTCACAGAACTGAGCCTCTCTTAGCGTGAGCCTCTACTGGCAATGCAGGGATGGAAAGGAAGTCACAGCTGGTTCTTTTGGTGGGACTATCCTTCCAAAGCCAGCACATGGAGAACTCCAGCGATGTAGCCTTTGCCTCCTAGAGAGAGAGTCATATAGCCTAAGAGAATGAAACAGCTCTTTCATCAGCCCAATTTTCTTTTTGTGCAGATGGTGATCCAGATTGGCATTACAGGTTTTGAAACAAATTGTTGTTTCAAGTTCCCCAAAGCTGAGCAGCAGGGCAGCTGCGAAGTCATTCCATTTCTGTCCCAGAAGCAAAGTCCTCCTTATCAGAATCTACCCCTGACACACGGAAGTCCATTTTCCCACGAATAGGACAGTGATCTTTCTCTCCTTTTACGTGCAATTCGATGCACTACCATCACCTCTCTTTTGTTATTCATTCTTTCTCCAAAATATAATTTGTATGCCAGGCACCGAGCATACAATCTAATGGTGGAAACAGGCAGTTACAATACATTAAAAACAAACGATTCAGATTTATCTAGTGCTTTCTGCGTGCTGGCCATTGTTCTAAACACATTACATACATTAACTAATTTAGCTTTCATACAATTCTATGCCAAAGGTTCTATTATTACCCCATTGTCCATATGAGGAAATCAAGGCCCAGAGATGTTGAATTACTTGGGCACAATCCTACAGAGAGGAATAGAGCCAGAACTACACTCAGACAGTCTGGCTCCAGAGCTTGACTTCTTCACCGTGAAGGTGGACAGACGGAAGGGGCGGATTCTGAGGGTCATGATGGAAAAAGCACAGGCGCTGGGGAGCACAGGGAGGTGCCACTAATCCAGATTTGTGGCCCCTGGAGAAGTGCTGTATTTAAAATTTAAATCAGATCATATCGATCTACTCAAAATCTTTTAATGCCCTCCTCCCCCCAAATTTAGGCTAAAAGCTATGTGTTCTACTATGGCCTAAAAATGCTCTGCTCAATCTGGCTTCTCAACTCCTATGGCCTTGCCCCTCTCCGCCACTCTTATCAATGCAGGTCTCTGGCTGCAGTACCTTATAGGTGAGAGTTAGTTACTGTCTCTACCCACCCAACCCCTACTCAGTGTTTCGGTCTCAAGTTCAAGGTCATTTACCAAAATCTTCCCTGACCCCTAAGCTACATTAATCCCAATAATAATTAATTATAATAATAATTGGAGTAAACATTAAATAACACTAGATGGTAGGCAGGGTTCTAAATGCTTTACATATAATAACTTATCTATATATATAAAAGCCTAAGTGACTGTTACAACCGGTCGACCAAACGTCCAGCCTCTAGGATGTGCACTGACCACCAGGGGGCAGATGCTCAATGCAGGAGCTGCTCCCTGATCAGTGTGGTCCCACAGCCAACCTCCCGTGGACCCCACCCATGCATGAATTCGTGCACCTCTAGTTTTAAATATTACAACAATCCTAATGGTAAGTACCAATATTAGTCCCATTTTTACAGGTGAAAAGGTGAGGCAATATTGTATTTTTCTTCATTACCATGATCAAAGGTGAAGTCATGTATTTATTCATTTAATATTTCCTGGGTTGTAGGCTCCTCAAGGTCAGAGTCTGAATTCATTCTCTTCATCATTGTGTCTCCAGTGTCTAACACAGTGGCTCATACATAGTTGGCACTTAATAAGTGTTTATCAAATAAATGAATCAGTCCTTAATGGACATGGATGAGACATACTTCTCTCAAGACTTGTACATTTTCTTACTAATTACAATAAAATGGATAGCTGAGAGAGGAATGGAAGGAAATTCTCTATTATCTAGTAATTATTTAGACTGTAGAAAACTCAGTGCCCTTGTTTGCACTCATGTTGTGAAAAGCTCACCACCTCCTTTTCCGTCAGTTATAACAGCTGAGGTTTATAAGGGAGTGGAGGCAGGGGCAGTGTGGTCTAGACTAGAGGAAAGAGCATGAGTTTTCAAGAAACACAGATCTAGGTTTCAGTTCTGACTTTATCACTTACTAACTGTGTGGTCTTGAGTAAGCCCCATACATCCCCTGAGCCTCCTTTTCTAATGCTGCAAAACAGTGTAGTTGAGAGAATGAAGTGAGATAAAGTATCCAGAGGGCCTATCAGAGTGCTAGGAGTTGAAGAACTGCCGGCTCTTTTCCCCTCCTGCAATCAGGGGCAGGCATGTAGGGCTCTGGAAAGCACCAGTTTACTAGACCAGCAGTACTAGCCAGACTGGACCCTGGAAATGTGAAGCCCAAAGTACAACTGAGGGGGCAGGGGCAAAGACTGCATGATCAAACCGGCTCCAGTTCGGAGAATCACCGAGGCCGCAGCTCACTCCATGCACACAGCCAAAGAGGGGGCTGGAAAAGTACACAAAACTCAGAGGGATTACGCTTTTTGGTCATTGTCAACAAACTGGGAGTAAGTCAAGACAATAAACTAAGAAAAAGATCTGGTGAGTTCTGTTGCCTATTCTCTAGTTCAAGGGATAGTCCCTGCATTGTTTCTCTTCTCTATGGTGGTGGAAGGCTGTTCCCTGAAATGCCCCTGGCTTCTGAGAACAGCTCTGGAGGCAACTCCATAAAGTCCTGGCCGGGGATGACCAGAAGCAAGCGAGCAGCATTCACCCTGCCCCCAGGATCATGTGGTCGTGGGGACGCAGGAGGCAGAAAAGGGAACTTAGATGGTCCTCTTCCTTCCTCCTTCATCTCCCAACGTCCATATCCATTCTTCTCTCAGTCAACCCTGACCTTTCCATCTCCCTCCCTCACAATAAAGAGAAGAAAAGTGGGTAGGTGGGGATGAGTGTGGCTTCCCTTCCCAGAAGTAATTGAGAGAGGGCATCAGAGTATTTCCCCAAAGAGTCAGAGACCTCCCCGAGGCTGACTCTGCTGGGAGTAGGTTTTGCCTTCTCTCTAAAGAGAAGCTCTGCGTCAGCTCCTGCTGCTCCTCTCTGCTGAGCTCCCTGGGCTGAAAAGCCTGTGGCTGTGCAGGTGTGTGCCAAGCCCTGTATATTGCATTGAAGTACACGTGCAATGAGTGGCAAGGCTGTAATTATTATATTTTATAAAGGGAAGTCCTCTCAGGCTTTTGCAAAAGAAAACTCTCAGTTAACCAAGATCTAGTTTATCAGAATCCAAATGGGGCATTCTTATTTGCACTCTTACACTTGGTATCAGCTCCATTCTCCCTCCAGCTCCCTTAGATTTTCCTGTATGTCCTGGAGAATGCTACCTTCAGTTTCAAGTCTATTTCCGTATAAGCAGATTCTTATGGTTTCATGAAAAAATAATCTTAAAAGTGAAAGAAAGATTGCCTTCTAGTTTGTATAACTATGGAAGGGAAATAGATCAGAACCTTTAGACAGACCTCACTGGGCTTTGTTTCAGTTCCCCAATGATACCAGCAGGCCTGGGCTCTAAGATATCACACACTGACCACCTGCTATGTGCTGGGTGCTATGGGATGCATGTTGTATAACACAACTAATACCAATACTAACATTGACATTTTCTAAGTGCCAGGAGCGATTCTAGGTGCTTTACTAGTATATATGTTTGTATAGTTAAGCCTTACAACCAACATAGGAGACATGTACAGTTTCCATCCCAGTGTTGGAGATGATGTAGTTGGGACATGGAGAGGTTAAGAAATTTACTAAAGTCACATAGTGGTGGAGCTGGTATTTGAAAGAGGGAGTCTGGCTCCAGGGTCTTCACTCTTAACCACTATACACATAGCTTTTCTCATTTAGTCCTCACAGCAATCTTATGAGATAGGATACTAAAATGCCCACTTTTCAGATAAGAAAAATGAGTCTCAGAGAAGTAACTTGTCTAAAGGATTGACTCAGGATTCCCAGCCCAATCCAATTCAACTCAATTCTAATTGAGTACCTACTTTGTGCCAGGCACTGTGATAGACACTAAAGCATCAGATAGTGTGATAAGCTAGTCACATTTAGTCTCTTTGTGTCCCCCCCTCCCCACATTTCTTTTAACACTGCCACTTCTTCCTGAAGGTAATCTATCTATCTATCTATATATATAAAAGGCTAATATGCAAAGTGTCCCCTTGGCAGTTCGACTGGGAGACTGGGAGTTCGATTGCTCACTATGACGTGCGCTGACCACCAGGGGGCAGCGTGGAACATGGTGGGCGACCAGCGGCAGTGGTGGGGCGCTGAGGGAGTGAGGGAAGGAGGAGGCTAGGAGGTGGGGAGGTAAGGAGGCGGGGAGGTAAGGAGGCGGGGAGGAGGGGAACCTGATCGGCCCTGATCGCCGGCCAGGCCTAGGGACCCTACCCTGCACAAATTTTGTGCACCAGGCCTCTAGTAGATAATAAAGAGTTCATTTCAAGTGAAGAAAAGTCACATGTAGTCAAGATTAGCCAGGGATGTCAGTTCCATGCATGTGCTGAAGCACTAGAAGTTATTTAGACAAGCCTTAAAAAAAGTCTAACATAAGCCTCCATTCCTTTCCATTTCTGTTTTAGACATAGGCATGTGCTCATTTGAATTTGTTCATTTAATAAACACTTATTGGGTATTGATTGTCTTCCAGGTCATATGCTATAAGTTGGAAACACATTTCAAAAAGAGGGTTAGTACTAGAAGTTGGGGCACTCTTACTGTAGAAAGAAATAAAATTAAACAAGTAAATACAGCATAATGTGACAAGTGCAATGATTCAGATAAGAATTAAGATAATAGTCGAGAGTAATTTTGGATGCATTGCAGGGAACACACCCAGAAGATGACAAACACGCTGAGTCTTGAGGTATAAAAGAATGCACTTTCCAGATGAGAATTGTTAAAGGAACTAGTATTTCCTAAGCAGATACTACATATCAGGCCCTAGATTGAGACTATATATTTAGTTAAATCCTGACTCCAGAATCCGAGAATCAGCGAATATAAAGAACTTGTTCACAGTGACAGTGTAAAAAAAAATCCCTGAGCTGAATATCTGAGCCGCATTTTTGGGAAAGAGCAGCCCCGGCAGAAGGAACAGCACGCACAACGGCAGGACAGCAAGACGGGCCTGGCACATCGGAGGGACAGGATGTTCAGTGCACCTCAGCCATCAGCTGTACGTGGGGACAGGGATCAAGTGTGAGATGAGGACAAAGGAGGAATTGGGAGCAAAATTCTGGAGGACTTTGCATATCTGATAGGAAGTAGGGATCGTCTCCTGCAGGCAAAGGATAGCCAACTAAGAAACAAAATAAATCATCACTACAAGAATGGGCTGTGGGAAGGGAAGAGAGAGATAAAAGGGTGGATGATGAAGCCACTGCCCAAAGCCAGGAATATGGGATAAGGAGCAGTGGTGAAGAGGGGCTGGGTGTGGGCCTCCAGATGAACCAAAAGGGGTTCCCAAAGGGGCCGGGTACCTGGAGTGTTTATATATACTTACTGGTAAGGAAGTGCAGAAGTGCAGGGAGTAAAGGAATAGGGGTTGGAAACGGAGATGCGTGCTAAAGCCTGCATGGCGGATTCTGGCAACCAGATTTGAAGAAAGCTGTCTATTCAAGCTGGCTTCCTAGCTCTGAGCCTGGGAGGCAGGAGTCCAGGTGTGCGGTGGATCTCTGGCTCTGACTCCTGGGGCTGCCCAGGTACATAGAGCTGTCAGGAACATCCAGAAAGAGGCAGCTGTTTCCCGAAGGCTCCCTCTGACACGCCTGGGAGCTGCATGACCGGGCTTGAGGCAGGCACAGCGCGGGTTTGGGAGGACACAGGCACGTGGGCAGCCTCCTGCCCCAGCTCTGCAGATGAGGCAGCTGAGAGAAGTGAATCTTTCTTCCCAGCCTCCTCCTCCACCCTCTGCTTCAGAGCCCTGGTGCCGCAGCACAGTGCAGGCTGCATAAAGGCTGATTCATAGATGAGGGGCTAAGCTATAAGCCACACAGAGGCGAACAGACAAAACTGCGTGCTTGTGGGGTATGTGTGTGCGTGTGTGTGTTTGGAAGAAACTGTTTATTCCAGGAACTATAGATCAAACACGCCTTACTGGCAGACAATAGTGATTTGCCTAGACAATTTATGCCACCAAATAAACATTGAGATGGGCTGTGTAGAGCTAAAGGTAAGGAGCCTGTTTAAAAGTTGGGGGGTCACCCTTCTGCACATAAAACATTGAGGCAACTATATCTGGGCATCTGCCTGAGCCTACTGTAGCCAAAGAGAAAGAAAGGCCGGAACTAAAATGCAAAAGAAAGAAAGAAACTGTTTGGAGATAGGTCAGCTACAGAATAAACTTTTCCCTTTCTCTGGCTTACTGCTTTAGCAAAACCTGATGGTTGTCTTTGTAAAGAAAAAAAAAAGTGTCTGTATCTAGGTCCCTGGCAGTGACTTGCCTCTGGGAGAGCCAGCAATCTATTTAATGACTCCATTGACGTCAATAGCATAACTGAAATACTTACTAACATGCATGATTCCAACTTTCAGGGGAGGGGGGTGGATGGGGTTTCTCAGCAGTACAAAAACCCGAAGTGGAGTCAACACGGAACGAACTCCACTCTTTAGGCAGCAAGTGAGAGATTAGCTGCTGCAGGTCTCAGTGGTTTTATTTAATACGAAGAAACATTCATACTAAATTTAGAAATTAATTTTGAACTGGCGAAATAACCGTTAATGAGCAGGGCTTTATTTTTGGCAATGTTTGTTCGAGGGTAACATTTTAACTATTTGTATTTTAGTTGACTTGTCAATGTTTTTGCAACTACCCATGCTTAATTTTAGACCTATACGAAATAATTGCAAATCATTATAAATAGCTCAGTGTTGATGCTTTTGGGTAAACATTCACAAGAAGGTTATTTTAGACAAAAGCAATTCTTACAAAACAACCATTTGGGAATTAGTCTCAGAATGACTGGGGCTCTTCTAGTGCATTTGCCTTATTGTTATGCATGCAAGTTGCCTAAACACTCAAGGTGACTAATTAAAGCAATTATACAAATAATTTAGGCCACAGGACATTCAGATAAAGGAAGAAAAAAAAATAATCTGATATTTCTAGATTTTTTTCTCTCTTTCTTTCTTTTTTGCAATCCCCTCCAATCCCTTCTCTTCTCTTTATCATGAGTGGCCACAGCCTTTGGTAACAGGATTGATTTTATTTGTATTTGTCCATAAGTTTTGCAATCCTGCCTGACAGTTCTTGCTTAATGCACAAACGAAGCAAATGTCCTGCTCGCGCCGGGCTTCATTTCCAGGCATCTGACACAGCTCAGCTCTCAGGCCAGGGCCGTGGTTCTCAGAGAGCCCTTCCCTCGCGCACACACGGTTCATCTCTCATCCTCGGCCCCGGCAGCTCTGAGAACTGAATCAATGTCATGACTTTGTGAATTTCTCAGAATCCCAGATAACTCACTGAGCCCTTTGTCCACTCCTCCAACAGACCCTGCATCTGTCATACTCCCAGGAACTCCAGAAGAATGTCACAATCAAGGTAAAGATACGGAAGGAACTCATACTGAACTCATATTGAGTTCCTTCCTAGGAGAAAGCCTCTTCTTCTGTTTTCTCAACCACTAAAGTGTCCTTTCCTCCCCAGAATGGCCTGGACACTTAATAGAAGAAATAGATTCCCATGAGCACTAAAAAATTATTAAGTCTGTTTTTCACTTAAGCCAACCTATTTCAGACTCGCTGGAAAGCCTTATAGTATCTTGTCCTATTTCTCCACACACAGGCTTTTCCTGAAATACATTGAATTGGCTGGAGTTGAAAACCACCATCAACCACAGCTTAGGATACACAGGCTGGTAGAGACCTTGGGTTTGCAGTGGTTTGATCTGAAGTCCTCAGGGAAATTCTCTAGTCATCTTTGTGACATGGTTTGCAATGTCCCATGGACTTATTGTTCTTCATAGCAGCTGATCTGTTACATGGGTGGTGCTCTTGCTCAATATATTCATTGGTAAATTTTGAAATAAGAAAATTAGTATAGAACCTCCCTCTTACACATCAATTCGGCTGCTGTGAGGTTGTATATATGTATGACACATATTACAAATCAAGTCACATTTATGTGAATCAGAAGAGCTAGCCATTAAAGGAAGTGCTTCTCTAATCCTATGTCATGCGAAAAAATCATTCTGTAAAGGCAATGAACACTTGATAATTTACCGTTTCGGTAAATTCTCACTTTCATGACACACCTATAATCACTACTGAAATGCAAAAGCAAGGGCTAGACAGGATGGCTGCATGAAGTGGAGCAACTATCCTACACACACCCCCCCACACACACATACCACATACACACTTTCACACACTCACTCTCGTGCACATACTCACACTGATTTTCTTTAATTATCTGATTTTTTTTCTGTTGAAAGTAGTTTGGGAGCCTGAAATATTGAGAATCAATTCAATTATCTACTTTGAGTGTGTATAGATGACTGAATCCATTTCTTGTGCCTTCTTTTGGAATGTTCTTTCTTCTGTCCTATTTTTTCCCCCTAAGCATCATGTAGAGAAAGCCTGGAATTCATACTTGTGAAAAGGCAAAATGTGATAAAAATTGAGATGCTCACTAAACTCCACAGCCGGCAGCAAGACTTCTGCACCTTTCTCTTTAACTTGAGGGTGTAGGATTTCCACTTTGCTCTACTTTCTGGGTTTTAAATTCTTTCTTACTTTCTTCTGGCTTTCCTACTCAAAGTGCAAAATGCCAGTTTTTTAGATTTAACTATTTTTGCTTAAAACCTATATGACCACACTAATATATTTAACAGTTATAAAGTGTATTTAAACCTCTTTTAACTTAAATTCAATAACTGACATTAAATAGTAAAAACACACACACAACTGAATATTTTTCATAGCGATAGATATAAAAATATTGACTCATATTAAATTGTAACTTATAGCATTTTTCTTAAGATAAAGTACCCAAACTTTATGTAGTTCTCCTGGTCAAGTCAACATATACTGTCTTCCTACTATGTGAAAATAGTAAAGCATATTGAATGATTCAGAAATGAATAAGGGACAGCCACTGCCTTCCAAAAGCTCCGATGGCCGAGACATATAAGCCATGAACTACAGAATATCTTAGATGGAACTGTTGCCAAAACACACAAAGGGAGCGAGCACAGCAATTTTCTAAAAAAATTAGGATGTCTTAGCAAAGGAGGGACATTTGTGTTGGACCACGAGAGCTAAAAAGGATAATTTTGGTTAAACCGTAAAAAGAAAAGTACTGCAGACTGAGAAATTTGCTTTAATTTCCCCCAAGAATTATCCTAGTTAATGATCAATTTGTAAGAGCAAATGTACCAATTTAACCATGGTTTCTGACAATTAGTTTTTAAAATGAATTGTACTGCCTTCATTTAGATGCATTTAAAAATGCCTTTTAAAGAGACTTGCCTTTTCTCTTTTTCTCCCTCTCTGTCTCTTTATAGAAGAATACAGTTATTTCAGGCTTTCCTAACAAAGTGGATTATTGCTAAAACTGAGTAAATTATTGTGCGTTTCTTGTATCTTTTATCTTAGATCTCAATTCAAATACGTGAAGATTCAGTGCTGATAAATCAACACCTGATCTGACTATCATGAAAAATCACCTTTTAAAGCAGCACTCGACATTTTAGGGCTGTTTGCTCCAAGCCACTTATTTTTCATTCTCCTTCAAAGTTTCTATTTAAACACACCTCTTTGTCATATGCTGATAAATATTAAAATAACAGGAAAAATCTGCCTGACTCATTTAAGCTGATAATAAGAACAAAACACAGGATGTCTGTGTGTGTCCTCCTTCCTTTTCTGACCGCATTTAAGCGTTACGATTTTGAAACCTGTAATTATGTAATAATTGGATATCACTATATTCTCTTCCCAACGAAAAGCCAGGATTTTTGAAGTTTGCCACAAAGACAGACAAAAACAAATTGCCTAAGTGGTATTGTCATTTCTTTGCTCCATTGTTTTAGGAGAACTCAGCAAAAGACTCTAGTTGCCAAACTGCAGTTACTGTGCCAATAATCACAAAATGATCTTTCCAACAGCATCTCTGGTTAATGAGCTACTTTATAGGATAATAAATATCACATCTCTCCTAATGTTTGTCAGTGTTTATCACAAAAGGAAGAAAACATAGTTTAAATGTTCAAACTGACTCAAAGTCAGGGCGCCCTTCCGTAAATTTGGCTAACAGAAATGTGAGCAAAGGAGTCTCACTGGTAGGCCAGAATGACGAAATGATAGTTTCAAAACCACCCCCTTTGATCTCCAAGTATGTAACACCAGTATTATGTTAAAACACTCTATCTAGTTTCTCTTTATAAACTTCTAAAGAAACAGTCCATCCGCACGCCAGGTTCTTGAAGTCTGTGGATACAGTACTATTTCTTCTCTCTACTTCATATCATGACGCTCTAGAGGTAAACTCTTCCTAATCTCTTCCTTTTTCACTTTTCTTCTTGTTCTCGATCTTTTTCTCATAAAAATATTTTTAAAGCATATACCATAACTATTTCAGAAGCCAACACACCAACAGAACCTATTGCCTTTGTTCCCTTCTTTTAAAAGTTGGGCGCTTGTGTTATTTCCATTCTCCTGTGGCCATGATACCAGCAAGAGAACACAACAGAACATGCAGGAGGGAAGATCCTGCGTGTGAAGCGAAGGGAACAGCACTGCTGGTGCACAGAGGTGCGCGAGGCAGCGGGTAGTGTTAGGTGACCTCACTATGAGCTCATCTCACTTGCTTCTCCTGTGGTTTTACTCAAGACCACTGCTATGCTACTGGGGTCAGTCGAGGGGCAAAACTCCATTTTGCACTTTAAAAAATGTCACCTAACTGGTTATGTCTTACGTCAACAAGAATTTAAGTTCAGTACATCTCCATGCTGTCCCTTCAAGATGGCCCTTCCTTTCCACACACAGCTCTCTACTCTACGTGAAACTTATTGGCGCAGCCCTGAAAGATGAGAGGTTAGGTTTCTTTAAAACAACACCTGTGAGAAGGAAAATTGGATGACCTCCAAAAGAAATGATTTGTGACCTAGAAAGAGCCTTTGGTTTCACACCTGGAAGGAATGCATATTCAAAGGGGATCTCTGGTTGACGCTAAGAGGAAGCCACTAGCATAGGCTGTGGGGCTCTCGGGTCAACGTGAGGGCACCTCAGGGCCTGTGAGGTCAGCTCTCCTGGAGTTCACTGGGGTCAGCAAGCTGAGGTCAAGTTGCACTATCAATACTGTTCTTCTTCTGGGAAGCAGCGTTACCACTCTTCCACCACATTCTGGAAGTCTGGGCATACATCCGATGGGAAAACCATTTAATACTGCTTTTCACTCAGATTCACATGGAATGAAGTCAAGCTCCAGTATGCTTTTCAAAAAAGTCAGCAAGAGCCTTACTTTTGAGGGCCATGGTATGCAAACAAATGCTATTATTTCCCCAAAAGGTTCAGCAGGAGAGGCACACTCATTATTGTAACACGGAGAGAGGCCATGGCATGGCTTACCTTGCAGGTTGACTCTGGAGACAGGAGGCTGGCTAGCAGCTGGGGACCTCCTGTGGAGACAGAGAGAAAAGAAGACCTGAGCCTTTGTCTGAATATCCTCTCCCTGCCTCCCCAGGATCTCTGGGGAGTTTTCCAGGTCACAATGAGCTATCAAGTGACATAATGCTTTCTCCGGAAGGCAGGCTCCTGTAACATGCGTAAATGACTGCAATTCTCTCACATCCAGATGGCCTGGAATTTCCCTCTGCACAGCCTCCTGGGCGGCCAACACTCCAGGAAGGAAGTCCTTTACCCCAGGTCCCTCGCCAGCTCCTCTGTTTTCAGTTTCCCTGTTTCAGGAGGCCCACAGGAGAGGATATCCTTGCTCAGGAATGGTTCCAAATGTAAGAGTGAATCCCAGCTCCTTCGGGCTGTGCTGTAGAAAGTTATAGCCAGAGGAGCCCTTAGAGACCAATCAGTCCAGGTTTCCAGTTGTGCGCCCCAGGTCACACAGCTACCAGGAATGGTAATTCAGGTGGCTTAATTTATGGAGCGGCCTTTTCATGGAGAGACTGGGCATTATTCTACAGCATAACAAACCTGCTGATGTCAAGAGTCAAATGAAACAAGCAAACCAACTCATGGCCCACAAACACTGGGCCTGCTTCTCCTTTTCTTTCTTGTGTTTCTGTTTCTTCTTTATATCCCCATGACCCCCCGATTTTGCTGCTTTCACCCCCGATTTTGCTGCTTTCACCGTCCTTCTCATGTTTTGCAGAACTGCCAGACTCTCCCAATGCATTGCCGGAGAACCTCCCAGAAATAGTACAGAGCAATGGCTTTTAAAATGTAGAGTGCCTCGGATCCCCTGGAGGTTTGAGACATTGCTGGGTCTACCTCCAGTTTTCTGATTCAGTAGGCTGGGGGTGGGCTTGCGTGTTTGCATTTCTGACTAGTGCCCAGGTGCTAATGTTGCTGGTCTTGAATCACATTTTCAGAACCACTGGTACAGAGGACTCTGTCCCACTAAAGAGCAACAGGATATTAGCAAGGAGCAGGAGAGTGGGACCCTAGGCCAGTGGGTCTCTAAACATGGATGACGTCTGACTCGTACAGCTGTAAAAATTATGAATCCCTTTCTGTCCCTGGAGAGTCTACTTCAGTATGTCTGGGATGGCCATCTGTAATTTTTTACTTCTCTGCGAATTCTGATGTACAGGCAGGTTTTGGATTAAGGCCAACTTCTAAATGATAGTGAATGGATTTGCAAAGGTATTGCGAAGGGAAGGTCTCCCTATAGATGTGAACACATAGTTATCATAGTTATTTTCCTAGTTTGTTATTAACTGCTCCAAATTCAGTTTTGGTCCCTTAGGGGCAATCTGGTTTCTAGGTAACTATACCTGATAGCTGCAGGGTCTGGCGGACAGGGTTCACATCTATCACATTGATTAGCGAGGTGATCCTAGGAAAGGTGCTTTTAATCCCTCTGTGGCATGATTGGGATTCAAAGCTAAGTCTTTCAGAATCCAAAATGCATGCACTCTCCATGGCTGCTAACACCTGCACTGAAACTGAGGGCTGCTTTTCAGGAAAATTAAGAGATTAAATGTCAAACTCCTTAACCTGGCGTTCAAAGCTCTTTGCTCTTTGTTCTCAACATGCTTTTCCCAGTTTATCTCCCAGGATTCCTCCCTGCCTGACATTTCATTTCAAACCACGCCATCTTGTTCTTCACCTTAGTAGCTCTAAAATTGTAATTAAAATAGGCACTGTCCAATTGGTGTTCAATATAGAATGCCTTAATTTAATGTAAACTTTATGCAGGCAGGGAACAACATGTTCACTACTGGATCCCGAAAACCCAGAGTGGTCTTTCATATGCCAAGCACTCAGTAAATAGTTGTTGAATGAATGAATGAATGAATGGACTAACTCAGACATCGCCAAGGCCAAATGTCATCACTTCTTTGACCTTGGCCATGTGCTGTCCATCTTCCTGACACTGTTCAGCCATTCCTCTGAGAAGAAAGCTCTCCCTGCACAAGCTCACACTTCTAAATACCATCTAGGTTTCTATGATGTATAGTAAGAAATATAAATCTGGTGGTCTTCCTCCTGTTGCCCCCTGGAATTTCCTAAATGAGAAGCTTGACCAAGGTGTCTTTTGTTATGTTAATGAGACGACTTTTGGAAAATCCCTGAGACTGGATGTCAGAGGAACCAATCTTGTGATTTGAGAGTTGGAAATTTCAGCCCTGCCCTGGACTTCAGGGGAAGGGAAAGGGCTTGGAGATTGTGTTCAGTCACCAATGGCCAAGGATTTAATCAATCATGCCTTTGTATTGAAGTCTTCATAAAACCCCAAAGGCACTGGGTTGGTGAACATGTGGAGACTGTCAGGCTCAGAGAGCATGGGAGCTCTGTGCTCCTTCCCACATACCTTGTCCTACGCAGGTTTCCCCATCTGGCTATTCCCAAGTTATATCCTTTTCTAATAAACCAGTAATCTAGTAAGTAAAGATTTTTTGTGTGAGCCATTTTAACAAATTAATCAAACCCAAAGAGGGAGTGATTGGAACCTTGAATCTACAGCCACTAGGTTAGAAGCACAGGTAACAACCTGGATTTGTGATTGGCATCTGAAATGTGGGGTAGAGGCAGTTTGGAGGACTGAGCCCTTAACTTGTAGGATCTGACACTATCTCCAGGTAAATAGTGTGAGAATTGAGTTGAATAATGGGATGCCCAGCTGGTTTCATGGAGAATTGCTCTGATGTATGGGGAGAAAAACCCATACAACAAAAACTGGTGTCAGAATCGTACTTCGAAAGATCAAATGCCACCTTCTCCAACAGATGTCACCCTCTTAGCTAAGTATGATCTTCCCTCTAATCTCCCATGGTGCTTTATTTGTACCTCGTGTTACAACTCATATGAGCACATATTATTCCCACCACTAATCAATGGCCCATTGATGGCAGGATCCACATGAACGTTTTATCTGCTTCCCTTTTTCCTGTAGATCTTGGTTCTACATACCACTGGCTTTTTCTCATATACAGCCTGCACTCATGTTGTTGGGCCCTTGCATATGTTTAGATCAGCTGAACACTTTCCCCTCCTCGTTAAGTGGCCAACTCCTCATATTCCGGGGCTTCCCTCAGGCATCACCTCCTTGGAGGAGCCTTCCCTCCTGAGTTCAGTCTCTGTGCTACTTGTAGTTCCCC